AGATGATTAAAATGAACGAGCGACAATATGAGAAACGCATGACAAAGTATCAAGAACATATCCAGACAGTATCAGACAGTATGAATTCACCGACATACGTTCAAGTCAGCAGTATCTGAGAAGCTGGTGATTGCTCAGGCGTAGTACAATCGGAAGTTATTAACTGCGGGTATTTAACAATCTTTAACACTGTCGTCAACAAAGTTGGTCAGATCGACGAGAACGGGAGACCCGATGCAGGCAAGCTAAATCGCGAGTACGCACTTGCACGGACGCAGTAGAGAACGCTCGTCATTTCACGACAGGCAATCAATAGCGGAAAGGACGCCTTGCGCGTGGCGCCGCAAATGAAGCGTGCGTGAGTGGTTCACTAACACGTGTATAATCGTGGCATAATATATATATATAGTAATAAAGAAGTCACACACAAAACCGTGTAGAAAAAACAAAGTCAATGTATAGAATAAGGCTGTTCTAAAGTTTAATGACAAGCTTCGAGATTACATCTCTTCATAGCAGTCAGCAGACATTCGGAATAGAATCAAAATAACAAAAACAAATACAATGGCGTTATAGATTTAACAAAAGTAATGAATCACACAATTTGCCGCGTTTGCCACTGAATACGGACGACCAAAAAGAAAATCGACCACTTATATATATACACACACAAAAAGCCACACGCACACGCACATCCATTGATTAGTATAAGATCTTCGCAAAAGAAGCTTCCAATCTCTTGCTTGAAACACCTTAAAGCGGCCAGATTTTTAATGACTTTCAAAATGAATAAACCTGATACACAGGACGGTCCTATAGTTTCTAGCTGCAGTTGTCCTACTGAACAGATCTCCTGCTTTCTTAGAATAGACTTGCTTCAACCTGATGGTACAATCGCTAACAAACATACGTCAAAGATACCGTCTCATGCTCTAGGCATATTTTGAGAATTTTTCGTTTTTTTTTAACAATGATACAGATTAAATTCTATATTATTAGTCCATGATTTCACACGGACATAAATCTTTATAATCACGGTTTAATCGCTTTAATCGGTACATTTTCTAACAACGGGCTTCTGATAACTTTTATCCGAATACTGCATACCCTGCATAGTTGTCGAATCTAGTTTTAATGCAAAAAGTGTTTTACTTTCAATGGAATTTTTATTCCAAATGTTAATGGCGTCACTATGGGTACGAAAATGGCCCTATGGCTATGCTATCGTGTCTATTTGTCGGCTAATTGAATAAAAATGTTCGCGTCCTTCATGAACCGCAAAACCGAGCCTTTATCTTCGTATCATTGATGATGTTTTTGGAGCCCCATCCATGAAACTTTCCTGATTTGCAAAATTCATCGAACATTGTCAATCTTTCCCTCCGTGTCTAAATTTATTCATACTCTACATCATGCTGAAGTCTTCCTTTCTGACATTGGTTTCTAATAATCTCTTTGGTATAACTTAGTTACCTCGGTGTTTTCATTAAAGCCCAAGCTGACAACCCATGTACTTAATCTATTGTATTCTTCGTCTCACCTCGCCACACTAAAATAGCCTCCCGCATCTCAATTGTTACGCATTTAAAAAAGATATGCAGCTTCAAAAACTGATTTTATACACAAAAGCTTCCAACATTGATGAATGTTTCACACGCCGTGGCTATAATCATCTGATCTATCTAAAGAAATTAAAACAGATACTTTCCCTTAAATCGGTGTCTTAATAACGCCTAGAAAGAGGCACCGATGTCGGTCGCGTGAATAAACGTCAGCAGATGTATCATTGGATTTAACCTAATCCACCTTCAATCCTGAGCATCAAAAGTTTGTTATTGATAATATAAAATTCTTCCAAATGATCCAATACACAATAACATGCTTTTCAAACCCACACTTTATGCTCGTACAGACGTGATACTAACCTCCGCGACCTCTTGTTTCAGCACCTCGTTTACAACTCTGACAACACGTGAGCCACCTGGCGGTGATACACGTGTTTGTCGGAAACGTTGCAGACTTGCACATTTTATCACAAATAGGTCTGTGGTTCAAGGCTCGGGGAAGTATTATAGTGCGGGATTTATTTAGCATTACTTTTAACAGTTTACATCGCGTGTCGACGAACCATCATTTACCGCCATTGAATGCGTTAAATGCCAAATTTACTATATTGCAAACAAAACCGCCGTCCTTGCGGATTAGTTCTTGTTGAACACACTAAGAAATCTATTGCCCTCAATTTGCAATGTGTTTCCACGTGTGCCTGACCATGTAACCGAACCGGTCAACCCATTGATGACGTGCGGTGTTGTGCTGCCACACTGACACCATATTACAATAGGCTCACTACCGACAAATACATTGAGCAGAAATTAATTTCTGAGGTTGGTTGTTTGAATCCAGGTGGGCAATGAACGCTTAAACTTAGTAATACGTTGTGATTTTGAGTCGCATTGCTTCGTTGTGTGTGTGTGTGTGTTGTCGTTGTGTGTGCGATGTGCGTGTGCGTGTGCGTGTGCGTGTGCGTATGCGTGTGCGTGTGCTTTTTGTGTGTGTATATATATGTGCGTGTTCTTTTGTCGTCCGTATTCATGGCAACGCGCGAATTGTGTGATTCATCTATTTTGTTATTGCTACTAAACGATGTAATTTGTTTTTGATATTTGATATTCTATTCAATATCTGCTGACCTGATGAAAAGATGTCAATCTCGAAAGCTTGTCAATTAAACTTTTTAAACACCCTTATTCTATACCTTGACATTCTGTTTATTATATATACTATATATATATAATATATATATGATATATATATATATATATAGTATAGACTATTAAGATATAGATATATCATAACTAGATCTATTATTATTCACTCACTGATAAATATAAATATAGATATTATTAACTACAAAAAAAACATTATCAAAAATAAATAAAATAAAAGCCTCCACTTTACTAAATTTGTTGTAAGATGGTTGTCGGATATACCGTGATCGCGTGGGGACGTGAGGATGAGCGAGATGCGTTGCATTGCCTCGAGCCCTTTAGAGATCACTTCACGTATGGCGAGAACTACGGAGATGTGGCTGGCTACCTGGCCAAAGCATTCAACACCCGCAACAGCAACACCGGCAGCAGCAACACCCGCAACAGCAACACCCGCAACAGCAACACCGGCAGCAGCAACACCCGCAACAGCAACACCGGCAGCAGCAACACCCGCAACAGCAACACCGGCAGCAGCAACACCCGCAACAGCAACACTGGCAGCAGCAACACCCGAAACAGCAACACCAGAAGAAGTGGGAGCATTTTCTCACTCCTGAATAAAACATAACTCATTTAAATGAGTGGCCCCATTATAATAAAAATTAAAAATATCTCAATTAAGCAATTTGGCAATGAAACACTGACACCAATTTATCACATAAAGTTATCAGCCAAAGCCTAAGTAAATTGTTTTATGATGATAATCATGACGACATGATGACAATGAGGTTTTTGATACATGTAACAATTAATTTACATTTATTTTAAGGAACAATAAATGAGCCTAGTGTATACTATCTGTGTAGTCCCTGTTTCTTTGACAATAATAATAGTTGGGTGTTTCTGAGGTCAGGGGGCAAATTGCAGTTTTAAATTACTGAATTTTTTTTATCATCCCTTTGGCATATTTATGGAATTTTTCCAATATTTGTAACACCGTGGCCCTGAAACCACAAAGATTATTACACTTTTTCACTTTTTTACTTTTTTGTATACCTTTATAAGGGCCTATACATCAACTCCGTTACAATTTTGTAACGGAGATGATGTAACGGAGTTGATAATTTTGTCATGTTTTACCTTGTTGGTTCCACATGGAGCAAGGGCAAGATGCAAATAATGTTTTATTCAAGAGGTCAATATGCCTGTCTTCCTCAATTTATGATGTTTGGTTTCTATGGTTACTTATCATACAATTTGCGTAACAGAGGTGATGCATGCATTTAAGTACGCATTTATTTTTGGCAAATTTTCCCCTTGAAATGTGATGCTGGTTGGTCTGATTGATCTGATTTGGTCTGATTGGATCTGATTGGTCATTGGTTAACACCATTGTCTATGAATAGATGGCAGCACAATACAGTCGTAACGGAGTTGATAAAAATTCAAAACAATAGGTCTGAGGTTCACCCCTCCTACACTTATGGTCACAGGCACTGAATTACAGTTGAAACAATAGCAACCCCACCCAAACTAGATTTCCCATCCCTGAATGATGACAACAGCTTCAAATCATTGGTGGAAAATTGGCTACTATGGGTTAGGACAGGCCATTCCGAGACCATCTGAACATTGAACTTGATTTTTTTTTAAAGAAATCTCATGTATACGAAATCCATTTTAGTGCTAATTTTTTACCATGATCCAAGACATTCATCAAACAATAAAATTGATTCAAAACATGGCAAGTCATTGAAGAATTCTGACCAAGAGTGGTCAGGACAGCAATCTGCCCCCTAATCTCAGAAACACCCAGTTATACTGGTGAGCCTTATAGGAGGCATGCAACAGTAAGCCTCCGCAAATTGTTCACCGTTGCACTATTTCGTCTTTAGAAAACGCTTTTTTTCCGCTGAAATTCGGCAATAAATTGCATGCATATTTTTCAAATAATTTAATTTTTCATTTTTCATTTTTCATTTTTCATAATTCATTTTTCAAATAAATGCAATAATTTGCATTATGCACGCAAGTTAGATGCGTCGTGGACGTCTAGAAAGCATTAGAAGTAAAATTGGTCTTGTCGTGACATTCCGTCAGGTGGCGTAGCCATGGTGACCGGTTGGTCATTTTTGTGTTTGAAATGTGATCCGACTACTTTGTAGAAATTCGCGTCATAGAGCTGACAAAAGTTTCGAGCAGAGCATAGAGCAAGAATCTGTAGTTATTTAACATGAATAAAGTGTATGTTGTGTACTCGGCGAAACAGTGCAAGTAGTTTTAATTAATTTCTGTTCGACGCTTATTCAGGCCTGCTGCCTATGGACGCCTTCTACTGTTGTACAACACCTAGAACCTTTTTACAGCAATCACTAGCTGTGCTGAGAAATGTAAAATGCATTCACATGGTTTAGGGGCCTTTGACCCACACATTCACAAGCTTGTACAATAGAACTATACGCGTAAATGTGGAAACGCAATTCTCAAGATACACCGTTATCTATGGTGGGTGTATATATATAGGTGAGCTGAACTTCGCCACGGTCATAGATAGAAAGTAATAGCGGCATCTCGACAGCCGGTCACTGACACTCAGCCGTACTCAAGCGTATCATAAGCGCATCTCTTACCGGTATCCGTACAGGCATACAGCGCACTAGCTCTAGAAGTACTATAGCCCTCTCCGCTCCGCCGCAGGCCTGCGGCGGAACGGAGGGCTATAGTTCTATAGCTAACAGCGCACATACAATACTGCACACAGACATCAGTTTTGTGTTAGTGATTACACCATTGGTTAACGCGTGTTCGAGTGACAACAAAACATATAGCTAGTGACGGTGGCTCCTGCTACCAGACTGCCGTATATAAGCGCTGCACGTGAGGCAGTCGCTCTCTTTACATCGTGTAATTTAAATCGTGTGAGCAAGGTGTGCGATTGTGGCGGTACGTGCAATAAAGCTGGCCACCGTGGAGCATCATAAAGGATGCAACTACTTCTTACCGTGTTTGTTGCCATAGGCATAGCTTCAAGCCATCAGGTTAGTGCTGCTCAAGGGGTCGTTGTCGTAACAGGTACTACAGATATGTACCCGAGGTACATATATGTATACACAAAGTGTACCGGACTTGTACTACAGAAGTGTACCCTAACCCTAACACTAACCCTAACCCTAACCCTAACCCTAAACATACCTCATATAAAAATATAAACATAATACTAAACAACCTAAAACTACCTCGGGTACATATCTGTAGTACCTGTTACGACAACGACCCTTCGTGCGTTAGTGCTGCTCATAGGATCTATGTCCCCCAGGGTACTGCCGGAACGTACCCTGGTAACTATTTGATATGGTTAGGGTCAGTGGCGCCCGCAGATAGAAGCACTGGAAGCACAGTGCTTCCAGTAAATTTTGGGTTAAAAAATGTTGTTCCTACATTTTGTTCCTAAATCTCTCTCGCAAGTCTCACCAGATTGCATCTCCAGACGTCTATACCATTCAAAAATTTTCAGGGGGAGGGCATGCCCCCAGACCCCCCTAGCATGCAGCGCGCTTGCTTTTTATTATCACTGAGGATTTTATCCTTCTGTGCTTCTACTTTCTTAAGACCTGTGGGCGCCAGTGGTTAGGGTTAGGGTTAGGGTTAGGGTTAGGGAGTAGGCGTAGGCGACTCCTTAGACTCGTTAGTGGAGTAGGCGAGGTACGGTCCAGCATATTAGATAGTACCAGGGTACGTTCCGGTATACCGGACCGTACCCAGGGTACGTTCCAGCAGTACCCTGGGGGACATAGACCCTCTCAGCGTTAGTGCTACATATATACACAGAGGGAGATAGATATAAATCAGGAGTAGATAATAGGGAGTATAATTATTTAGATAATAATTCCCTATTATCTACTCCTGATATAAATAGATAGATAGATAGATTTAGGACCTTTTACTTTTAGGACACAATATGATACCTTACACACTATGTTTCGTGGCTTATAGGACGCACTTTTTGCTCAATTATAATAACTCCAAAAACAGCTTTTCATCCTAGAAGTTGAACGTCGATGTAGCGGATACTATAGTAATTGAGATTTTCGAACAGCATTTTATAATATTATACATATCAAGAGGACATCCTACAGTACATGGTACCCAATGCTGATAGTGAGATAGGCTCACGATATACAGGGAATTTGAGTGATATAAATTAACTTGATCACATTACAGGGTTCGAAATCCTAACGGGCCCGCGGGCCCGATGCCCGTACTTTAAGGCTCGGGCCTGCATTTCTAATACTATTAAACAGGCCCGACGTGCCCTTAGAAAATCCGACGAGGTTGCCGTCTGTCTCTCCCGTTTCTACCAAAACCCGTCCTTTTTAAACCGTCCGCATCCTCGTCGCGACCTGTTTAGACTTAAACTAATTTATGACGCGGGTAGTGGATATGATGACCGGTCGCGACTAATGTCCGATGGTACCAGGTAGGAGCGCCGATCAGCGTGGACGTTGCCATAATGGCTTGGGCTTGCCATAAGCCATAAGCCATAGGCTTGCCATAATGGCCTAAAATGGCATGGACATGGCTTAAAATAAAAGGACATGGCAAGCTGTGATTAAAGCAGTCAATGCCGCATCCAACAAGCCACAAACTCAAGATGAGGTGAGTGTATGTATGGGTGTGTGTGCGTGTGAGGTGATGTGAGTATAGGTGAGGTGAGGTGAGGTGGGGTGTGTGTGTGTGTGTGTGTGTGTTCAACTTTCATGTCTGCCAGGAAAAATTCAACCCTATCTTTGCCTGATTTGGCTGGTTCCTTAGATGTTTACATTACTCAACCTTTTTATTTGCTCTTGCCATGAAATCAACTAACCGACCCTAAGGAGCGTTGTTTTTCTCTGCCCTATATGTACCAAACATTAGCTTTATCATTCAAGATGTGTGATCCACACAGTAAATGATCAGTGTGTGAACGCGTGCGCGTGTATGATGATGATGGAGACGTACCTATGCCTGTTTGTGCGTACTAACGTTAACCATTGTAAAAATGTCAAATTTCAGTCTTTTATTTAAAAAAGTAATTGGCCTGGCGGGCTTCTAAAATCCCTTACCTACAGGCCCGGGAGGCCTGTTAATTTTCAAACTAATTTCTACCCCTGCATTAACAGGTTATTAAAATCACATTAACATTAACAGACTCCGAGCAGGCCAGTCCGTAAAACTACTAACCGCAATAGATACTAAGTTACTAACGTACCACGACTTTAACATGGGCAGTTCACCGCACCACGTACACTCAACTAATATTCGCCGATGCTGGCCTTGCACGCGGCGAATACTGTATACCCCATAATTCTCGCGTACACATATTTTCGCGAATTCAGACTTGACGAACAATTTCGCGAGTGGTTGATATCGCCGTCGGTGAATTATAAATTATTCGGTATTATTCGGCATGAATTATTCGCGTGTTGTTATTTTCGCGGTTGGGGGACGCGTTCGCGAAAATTAAACCACCGCGAAATATACAGCGTATACAGTATTACTGCGGGGAGTGATCTGTATGCGAATTATTGCAGGCGCAATTTGTCCGCCCACGTTGCGCGTGAAGATGTTTGTTTATACACAATACGTGCACGGCGTGTGTAACACCAGAGGTCCCAAGTTGGGAAAATCCAAGAAAGGGATCACTTGTGATAATGGAAACAGGAAATAAGTTGTGGCGGGCTGCGACGTGTTTGTCGCGGCGCGCCACCATTTTTTATAAAGTATACATGTAAAATATAATGCAAATTTATTGTGAAAACAAAAGATTTTGACATTTGTGGCCTTTTATTGTTCGCTGGAATAAAAGTACATCAACAGCCACCGCAAATTTAGTAGAGGACATTCAGCTACCTCGCCGGCTGTTGCGTTATTATGTGGTAGCGAAGTATATAAATGTTCCAGACTGAGTTCAAACGCAGTAGCCTTATCGACATGGCAGGGATACTCACGGTCAGATGACGACCACCAAATGCGTTTACAGAGTCAGAGAGAGCTCTGTTCGAGCCTGTCCACATATGCGTGCATTACGGGTGGTAAAGAACACCCGTGGAATTTTCCCCTGGTAGAAATACGAGTAGGTGCGCTTGGTTCACCAAAATTTAACTAAATTCCATATCATGTTCTGCCTCTACGCCGCTTCACGTTGTGGTTTGATAGTAGTAAATCTAGCAACGCTAACCAAAAGTGCATGCACAATTAACATGGTTAGCCGCCGCACTATACCTACATCCTAGCCCGTATCAGATAAAAAGGTTCTGCTCATACACCCCCGTTTTCTTATATTTACAGAAAATTGGAGCGTTTGGCTATGACTGCGAGACCCTGAATCTTATAGGTGCTTGCATTGACTTACCTGCACTGGAAAACATAACAGAGTGTGACATACACAGGTATAAGGGCTAGTTAAACAATCACGGTACATACCGTTAGTTTGTTTTCCCATTTGACGTTGCAAATAGGAAATGGGTTTCTGACCTATTTCCTATTTTTAAAATGAAAATAGAAAATAGGAAATGGGTTTCTGATCCGTTTCCTATTTTAAAAGTCTAAATAGGAAATGAGAAATAGGTTTCTGATCCGTTTCCTATTTTAAAAGTCTAAATAGGAAATGAGAAATAGGTTACTGATCCGTTTCCTATTTGCGAAGTCACGCAATGCAATGCAATGCAATACACGCACGTACACGCAGGTACACGCGGGTACACGCATGTACAAAACCAAGATCATACTATTAAAGTAGTACGCGCGTATGATTCAACAGCTTCTTGTCATTGTCGTGGTGTAATAATTATTCAGCCATACTCACGCAGAGAAAAAAATACACGGGGGCGGCGGGCGATTTCGCCCCCGAAATGCCAAAAAGAGCTCCCGAAAACATGATATCGGGGGCGACCCCAAAAGCAAAAGTCGCCCTGGAAATCGATTGTCCAGGTCGGTCCCGCGCCTTGCCGCTCTCGCTCGGCCTCTGCCGCTAGCGGCAGCCGGTTCCACGGCGCGGTAGAATTTATGGTACGGTCTGACTGTCAAGTGTTTACCATTTAAGCATGCATGAGTGTACTGTACTGTATTGCATTCAATCAAGCGCGCGCCGCCGCCCGCGCGTATATACGTGTGTGCCTGTGCGCGTGCTTGCGTGTGTGCCTGCGCGCGTGCGTGCGTGCGTGCCTGTGTGTGCCGGTGTGCCTGCGGGCGTGCTTGCGTGTGTGCCTGTGCGCGTGCTTGCGTGTGTGCCTGCGCGCGTGCGTGCGTGCGTGCCTGTGTGTGCCGGTGTACCTGCGGGCGTGCTTGCGTGTGTGCCTGCGCGCGTGCGTGCCCATACACACGTGCCTCGCGGGCCGCTTTCTCAAACCCCTTGAGCTTCCAGGGCCCTTACGCGGGCCCAGGACCCCAGCCGCAAGAGACTTCGCGTATAAACAATCGATCCCCCTCGCTCGTACAGGCAGACACTCCACTATTTGCGCTAGCCGTAATAGTTCTGTGTTTAGCAGAACCTGTGATGCATCACTATTCAAGGTGCATTTGTGGTTGTGACTTGTGTGTGTGCGTGCGTGCGTCCGTGCGTGCGTGCGTGCGTGCGTGCGTGCGTGCGTCTGTGCGTGTGTGTGGTGTGTGCGCGCCCCCGCGAGTGTGTATTAGCTACTGTGCTTGTGTGTACATTTGAGGAAACAGCCCTGGAAAAAAGTCGCCCTGGAAAGTGGAAAAAGAGCCCTGGAAAATGAAAAAGTAGCCCCCGAAATTTTGGGGGTTTTGCAAAAAGAGCCCCGGAAAAAAATAATTAATTTTTTCACTGAGCCATAGTGCCGTCATTGTAATAATTTCCAGTACGCGAAGCAATGAAGCTAGCAACTTTATCAACTAAAGGTACAGAGCGAGAATTTCACGGCTTTGCACCAAAGAGAAGTTCTTAGCAAGCAATTAATTATCGAGGTAGTAAAAGTGGTCAGGGAACATGTTAGTGCATTCAAAAGATATCACTACAACTAGTAATGATAAATTTGTGAGTTTACAGCATTTAATACACTAACGCGTGCATATATACCATAACGATGCAAAATACGAATAGCAGTTCCCTGCATGGTAGCGTTTTACGTCAGTTTGTTTGGTCTACTTACAGCCTAAAGCCCACCAATGCTTACCATATGAAGCCAATGAAACTGGGAGTAGCTGTCTATGGAATTGACCTCAAAAAGCCGGTCTCGGAGGAAACGATTATCCAGATAAAATATGACTTGCTCAAACATAGGCTGCTTATATTCAAGAACCAGGGTAAATATGTTTTATTTATAATTCGTCGTTTTCTCCTACTAGTACATAAAATGTCGCATTCACAGTCGCCAACACAATGACAAATGATTTTGTGAGAATTTGTTGACTACTCTGTAGCCTGACTGCTAACTCAAACTTCAAACGACCACTTTTATCGCAAGTAACTAAGCTGCAGGTAAACGTTTTTACAACACTTATGACGGCATGGGTTTATCGGAAGAATCTACTTTAGGTTTCCCAATAGTGATAGCAAATACAATATAAATCTCCAAAACACATCATGTGATAGATTTAATATCCAAGTTAGGTATATCGACTCTGCCCAGTATGTGATTGCAGCTAGTTTTACGTCATTAAAAAGAGAAGGGGATCGAATCAACTATCTAAATTAACAGTCGTAGCAATGGGTACATGTTCTTTTCAGGCATTGTTCCTGCAGAGCGGCAAGTGTCTCTGATGGAACAGTTTGGCAGAGTAATATCTCTCCATCCCAAACACCCCGACTCGCCACATCACGGGGTGTTAAGGATTTCAAACCACTTCAGACATGGCTATCAGAAAGTGGGAGTCAGCGCATGGCACACAGATGGCTTCTTCGTAGAGCGTCCATACAGCTACGTTGCTTTTCACATAATATCGATATCCATGAATGGGGACACATGTGAGTTATAGATCATATGCATGCTACATTAGTGTTCGCTACGAATTCCATATACGCATCGGCCTACCTTTTAATCTCCCAACAGTATTAACTATTATATTATAATAGCAACATGCAATTTGCGTTCACGAATCATGGATTCACACACAAATATCGAGAGAGCCAAGCCAGCGATAATATGTCCACGTAAGCAATTAGGCCTACACCCCTAACAGTTGCACACTATTTCATCTCATACGCCCTGGTTCCAGACTTTTGTCGGTGACAGAACTTTGTCGTCTGTTATACATACATGTGTTCGTGCTTGTTAGTTTTACAAGCTTTCTTACTTTGCCTCATCAATCCTAAGGAAGTGTAAGCTACTAAAGACTCCTAACCATTGCGCCATATCATTGACAATTCTCTTCGACTGATTCCATCTCGTGCCAGCATTCATGTCGTCTGGCTCCACCTCCCATCTCCAGGAATAGCGTGGGTGCCCTCTAATTCCTTTCCCTTATAGACTTGAGGGACAAGATAAGACTATAGATAAGATAAAGATTGCCGTGTGCTGCTCGAGGTGGGCTTTTGGAAGGTGTGACCTACCCATCCCGTCTCCTCCTGCGAATCTCCTGTTCCATAGAGATCTGGCTGATATGCCTGCATGCTAGGTCGGGGTTGCCACCCCTATCCGTCCAGCATGTCTGAAGTGTACACCTAAAGCACTTGTTGATGAAGGTTTAAGGTACTGCTATTAATGCTTCTGTTGTCCACCAGGTTTTTGTGTCGTAGTGCAACACTGACTTTGAATTACAGTAGGACTTTTGTTTGGGTGCTAATCATCCTGGAGCTCCATACGTTCCTCGGAGAGACGAAAGCTGCTCGGGTTTATGGATGCTATCCTTGCTATCATTCTCGGTTCCACATTATCGGGATAAACGGCAAAACATAAACCAGGGGATGACATCCTTCAATGTCTGATCTCTAGGGGTGATCTGACTGTTAATTTAACGTGTGCAATATTGGTCCTGACAGAATCGTCATCCTCGTGTTTTTACCCTTACAAGCATATCCTGTTTAGCTTATTACCAGCACTAGCAAGTTTTATTTACCTGTAGCTGTTATAATCCAATAAATCTCAAATACGTGTTATGTCTTCCAGTCATCTTGCCATATTTGGGTTAACAGCCCAATCCATATATGTCAGTGGGGCTGTGCAGGTGGTCTTTAATTGCTACTTTGTCCATTTTGGCCTGGTGGTTTTGCCACTATTTAGCTGGACTGCTTTCCTGATCTGCTCTCTATTTTTTTGTTGCAGTTGGCTAGAGATTGCCTTTACTCCACTTAGAACCCTTATATTTGTAACAATCTCCTGAACATCTGGCATCTGCCCTACACAGATGTTATCTGAATTTCTGTTCTATAGTTTGGACATATCTAGGTTGCCTGTGTGAATTCTCCTGTTAGGAAACACAATTAGTCCAATAATGAACCGCTTGAATGTACCAGGACTTCCAAACACCTCGTCATTTTTGTTTATCTGTTCAAATTCCTTTTCCCATGTCTTTCTCAACACCACAATTGTTGTTAACTCTAGTTTTTGCAATGAAATCCTCCTTGCACATTGTTATGACATTTATCTTTTGTTTCTCTATTACGTTTTGTAGTCATTAGAAGATATGCCTTTTGCTTCTCCATCTTTGTTATTTATTGGCAGCATAAAACTGTATGATGTTTACCAATATCCCTTCGCTGTTAGGCCGAAAGGGCGAAAGGGCCGAAAGGGCCGAAAGGGCGAAATAGATTATCATTAGGCCTGCTGCCTCTCATATGATAAAAGCTCTCTCCTTCTTTCAAGAGCATTAAAGGACAATTGAAGTCAAATTTCATAACTTCTGTAACGTTTTTATACATAGAAATACATTCAATAACGTATTCCATTTCAAATCCGGCGCCCAATTAGTAATAAACACCTGAATAATTTATGTTACTATATCGAGGTTATGTGACGTCACGGACCATTTCGAGAGACGCCATTATGTAAACGTGCGTGTGGTGGTTAAATATTCGATGTTTTTAGCTCGATATTCGATTTCTCATGCTTATTTATCATGTCAAGACACAAACATGTAGCCTGTAAGTGTAATTATATTCATGTACATACATATTACCTGTGTGGGTAATGCATTCACGGTATATGTACATGACTTGCGTAGATACATGTACATGCCATGCATACATGTACAGATACATGTTGATTCTGACCGAGCGTGATAAGCCCGGTGAACAGTGTACTCGCATGACTCACTTGGTCTAGCGTCGAACTGGTCTACAATAACCCTGGTCTTTTCATTCTCATGGCAGCATATACATTAAGGTGCCGTACTCATTAATTCACAAACACTACAAGAACACCAGTATTTGTCTACAGTCCTATCTGGTACCGAAGCTTCCATTCCGCCATGTTGTGACTGTTCTGATTCTTGAGAAGTTTGTGCCGACTCTTCGCGTTGCTTTTTCAGATGATTGTTCTCAATTTCTTCTTGTGTATATTCAGGCTCAAACCTATATCCAACTGGTAAATCACTATAAATATCATGATCATCTGAGTAATCACTAGAATCACTGAAATTATCACTTTCTGTCTCCATCACAACACTCAGCTTTAGCGTGGCGTCGTCGTTCAGAATGGTCCGTGACGTCACATGACCTAGATTAATATTCATGTGTTTATTACTAATTGGGCACCGGATTTGAAATGGAATACGTTATTGAATGTATTTCTATGTATAA